GAGGCATAATCCCGCACGACTAGCCTAGATCTATACAGTCCCTTCTTCTTGACCGTGTTGACCCACCTACTAGTCAGAACTCGCCTTCCGTTTTCCTTAGCAAGACGGCGAGCTTCGCGCTCAGGGATCACTTCCCCAACCTTGAAGGACTCCAACTCTTCCAACTCAAGCTTCATTGATGCGTAAAGGAGGTCGGGTTCTAGCTTCTCTCCCGAAGTCTCAGACACAGCGTTCTGAGGAACAGCACACCTTATCTTCGTACCTCCAAACTTCAAATCAAACGACTTTGCAACTGCAGTGGAGGTGGCTCGCAGGTCAGGCCCTCGAAACAGGGACTCAAGATAGTGATTCGTGAGCCAGTCTATTTCCATATCCCCCTCATCGTTCACAACCTCCTGGTTATCAGGCGCTTCCGACGGAGAATAGTCAGCAAGCTCATCTTCAATCATCTCTTCATCACCATCTTCATCCATTCCCACACCAGCCCCCTCATCAGGAGCATCATCACCAGGAGCCTCCAACGGATCAAACAGTATGGGCCTCTCGGGGTCCTCAGTGTCCTGCAGAAGAGGCTTAGCTAAAGATAGCTCTTCCAGGGTCTTGGCATCGTAGATGTCACCTCCCTGAATCATCCTGGCGACGGGGAATATATCTATTTCCCTGCTTCCGATAGGGACGGCAAAGATGCCGCCACCTTTGGCGTGCACCGGTCCCAGATAAACCGCTTTCACGGTCCGGGCGCCCCTGAACTTATCATGGTGCGCCTTGGACTTACTGACCTGGGCTTGAACCAGACACCCGAACGGTCTCGTCCGAGTCCGGTTCACAATCTCCTCATGCAGTCGATCTATGCTAGTGCTCGAATCCCCGACGCTGGTACACCAGAGGTTATAGCACCTAGCAACATAGAAAACACAGGCTTGCCAAAGCAAACCTCCCAAAGGTAACCGATACTTCCCAAGCTCAACGGCTTCCGTTTCCTGCTTCACCTTAGCAACCTCTTTCTCCAGGTCCAGCCAAACAGACCAGAAACCCTGCTTCATAGTTTCAACCTGCCGCTCAATCGATCCCTTCGACTGGGGCCTGTAGCCCGGAACCACGTCAATCAAAGTTGCGCTGGCAGGGCTGCTATCGCACTTGGTGAGTTTCTCGGCAAGGGCTCCAAGAGCCGCTTCTTGGTCCATCCGAAATGTAACCGCTTTACCGACTAATCCCATTTCGCGAATCACACGGTTGATATTGTGGAGCAGGTCAGGGTCATCGAGGTGCATCGCAGGAAGAGAGACAGTATACTTAGAACCGAGGTGCATCATCAAGAGTACCCTCAGTTTTCCGAAATAGAAGAAATCAAGACCTATGGTCTGGTTCTCTCTCTGCAGCTTCCTCCTCAAGCGACGCGCCGGAACGCGCCCTTTCGAAGGACAACACGCTTCACAATTGGAATCAAACGGAAAATGCCCTCGGCTCCGATGATTATACAACGAAACAGAACAAAGAGGAACCCTCAGGTCCTCCTCATCCTCAGGTCCAACCGGGTCGTCAGGTGGTGGTGGACCCTTTTCTTTTCGAGGTTTCTTGGAAGAGCCAGGGGCAGATCCTAACGGTTCAGGGTCCTCATCAAAGATTCCTTCAGGATCTAAAGGATTACGACTAGAAGCTTCAGGTTTTAAGGAAGTTTCGGGAGCAGGTCTCGAGGAAGGTTCGGGGTCTAAGTCAAACGGATCAGAACGTGTACCGGTCCCCGGCGACGGTAAACCTCTAAAGCGCACGGCTCGGAGCACGTGCTCAACTTGTTCCGTCTTCTTTGCCGGGGCCGGTTCATCATCTCCGGCACAAAGCATGCCAAACATGCCGCAACATGCGCACTTTAAGTTTTCACAGACATGCTCACAAACGCGCTGCCCAAAACCTTTCACCTCACGACTCAAAAGAAGTTTCCTACTCACCTCGACGCGGGCCCAGCGGTCCCGCAGCTTAATCCTAACATAGCTTCCGCGTTTTCTAGAAAACACCATATAGAACTTTCGTGGCCTCTTTCGCGAAACCACTTTCCTGAAACACCGAAGTAACCCTGAAGAAACCCACAAAGCTATACCACAGAAGAGGCTGTAGACCGTCAGGAGGAGCACGATGATACCAAGATCCAGTCCTGGCGTGAAACCATTCCTGAAAGCGGCCGTGGTTTTAAAGGTGCGGGTTTCGAAGATAGGGGGGTTCGAGGTACGTTGGGTTGGTTTTCGAGCAAACGCAACATGCCACAGACCATGCCAACGCTCATGCCACACAACATGCTGCTGCAAAACGTGCTGCTGCAAAGTGTGCTGCTGCAAAGCGTGTTTTTGCAAAACACCCCTCGGTGCGGATCGCCGCAGAGTCACTCCAAAAGCCTCTGCCCCTCTTCGAGGGCTTGCCTCACCTGCGCAGTCAATTGACTGTGGCTCAAAGATGGCGGGCTGAGCACAAAGGCCCGTTCCTGGGCAGTCTGTCCTGTGGCAGAAGCACTCGCAGACGCACTCATAGCTCTCGGAGGCGTTGGTAGCCGAGATCTTTTTGGAACAGACGGCGGGATGTTCACGCCGTGCCTTTGATAGTCCTCCCTCTGCATTCCCTCCGGAAGCGTAGGTGCTGAGACCCTCGGGAGATTGAATGCAGTAGCCACCAGTTCTCCAGGTGGCATCGAGGAAGCCGGGCTCGGCGGCATCCAATTGGGACAGCCTCTGGCCTGTAAGTTCTTCCAACGTGCGCCATATGGCGATGTCGGATAAATCTTCTTGGCCCTGGGCCCTGTTCAGCGCTGTAACTTCTCCTTCTCCAAGGAGCAAGGACTCCTCGTCGGAGCTCGAAGAGGTGGTGTCCACAACACCGCCCTGAGGGATCGCTGCCGATTTGGCCCTTGCCGCTCGCATGGATTCCCGGGCCTCGTGGAGGCGCTCCTCCTCTCGTTTTCGCCTGTAATATCGGGCAACACGGAGATATATGCCCGAGTCTAGGTACGCCCAAGCCGTTTTGAGCTCGAGCGAGGTGACCGACTGGGGCACCTTTACGAGCAGACTCGAACGTCCTCCCACCAGTCCCTTGTATCCAGCAGGCGTAGCCAAATAGGTTTGCAAAACAGCTCGACAATGGAAGATATAGTGTAACATAGATACAGGGTTGGGTTCCTGGAACCTTCGTTTCCACGCTGCCCGAGCGGCCCGTGGAGCCTCCAGAAGTTCGGTAACCCTGACAGCGAACTCCACGTCTTCCATATGAAGCCCGTACTCTGCTAGGCTCTTGCCCTCTAGGCAACGTCCCAACCAAACCTCCCATTCCTGCTGCCCAATGATACATTGGGCTTCCGATTCCACCATCTTCGGCCTCGAAACCCTCACTGGCTCCTCTGGATAGGCCGCTGTCACAGGAATCACTGGAGTGGCTGGTAGCCAAGCAGCTGGATGCTCTAGGTCGGGCAGGCCTATCGGACCAAGCATCGTCGCCGCCGGAGAGCAAAGTGCTCTCAAGGCGTGGCCTGGCGCACAGAACGCCAGGGATGGGGCATCGTAGGCATCGTTCATGTTCGCTGGAATCCCCGCCAAGTGCGAGAGCAACGGAATAGGCTCGGTAGAGTCGACCGAGACCTTTGCAAGGCCCAGCGTTTCCGCATGCTCCCATCTGCGGCCAGCCTCCAGCCTCAACGCCCTCAGGAGGAGTTGGGTTCCCACATCCATCTGAACCGCACCAAACGGAGGGCTCAGCGAGCCCGGCGAGATATTCGCCGGGATTCCAACCCGCGGTGGCGTAGGCCCCTCGACCTCTGAAGGACCCCCAGCGCGCAGGCGCTTCGAAGGATTCGGCCACTGGGTGCCCCAACTCTCCTCCCCTTCGCTCTCCTCTGAGAACAAAGGGCTCTCTGCAATATCCGCCTTCGGCTGACTCCTCGCAGCATTCTCCTCCACAGGGCTTCCAGCAGCATCTGCCTGCGAAGGGCCATCTGCAGAGCTCTCCACTGCTTCCGTCACCACTGGCGACGGATAGACCGCCACCGGCGACGAAGGTCCCCCACCCGGCGGCTCGACCCCCGGTAGTTCGAAAGAGGGGCTCTCCAAAGCCGGTGGAGTAGGCGGTTTCCCAGGAGAGCCTGGGCTGCTCAAAGCAACACTCGGGGTAAACTCGTCCCCGCTGGCACCGTCCATTATGATCTCCAAAGGGAGACCTCTCTTCACCAAAGAGAAAAACGGCTGCAGATGAATCGTGCGCAGTGCTAGCGCAAACATTCGGCAACATCAGCGTTTGCAAAATCAAGCCAAGCATGCCAACATGCCACTGTTTCCTAGGTTCACGCAGCTGTTTCCTAGACTCACGCAGTTGCTTCCTAGGCTCACGCATCTGCTTCCTAGGCTCATGCCGCTGCTTCCTAAGCTCAGGCAACTGCTTTCGCAACCCTTTTTCTACCCTCTTGTGGCTGAAGGGTCTGTCTTCTTCACTTGCCATCGAGCAAGACCCATCCAGCTGCAATGCTACCATCAGCATCGCTTTCAGCATACTGCGAATCTGGAACTTCGTCGTGGGCACGTAGCCATTGCACCCCCGACCAGTGTTGGATACAGGCCCAGCAATAATGATGGGTGTGCGCAGGTTTGCGTCTGACGCAGCCCTGCTTTCCGCACACTTCGCATCTGCACTCGCATTCTGGCTTTGATCCGCCCAGATAGTTTCCCATAGCAGGAAAAAGAGGCGTATGCCGAGTCTTTCTGCAAAAGCCGTAAGGGTAAAAGCCCGCTTGAGCACAGCAGCAAAAACCCACTGCGCTTGCACAACCATGTCCCTCATGAAAACATGCCATCGCAAAACCATGGAAAAACATGCCAAAAACATGCAAAGCACCATGCCAACATGCGACTGTTTCCTAAAATCAAGAGCCATGCCAACATGCGACTGTTTCCTAAAATCACGCGACATGCCAACATGCAACTGTTTCCTAAAATCAAGCGCCGTGCCCTGCCTAAAGTCACTCGACTCTTCTAGAAAATCACAAAGCTCAATCTCCCGTGGTGCAGGCGCTCTTGGAGCAACTTCCGCCCTAAGACCCCGAAGCAGAAACCCAAAAGGAGTGGCAGCCAAAGCGTGGCGGCCAGACTCGTCTTCTTCCGAAGTCTTTCTTCCTTTCTTCAGGATTCCTTCTCCAGGCTTCTGGGGTCCTGCGGTGGACTCCTTGCTCGATCCTAGCAGGTCGCGGTCCTTCAAGGCATCTATCTCCATATCCTCGATCCCTTTCGGGGGGCGTCTGGAAGAATTCTCTTTCCCCCGGCCCTTGGACCTCCCGCTCAGAGCCCACCAGGCGCGCGAAGCGCCCATCAGCTTGATGCTCTTCTTTCCGTTTCCTTTGTACAATCGTGATCCCGATTTGGCTAGATAGGTTTTCCAGCCCCGTTCCGACCCGGTCCAAGGCGAAACAACGTTGAACCCAACATCCGCCACCAAGACCTCTTCCAACCTCAGGAAAACATCACCAAAATGAACCTCAAGGTCGACAACCCCCGACACGACGATCGCACCACCCGAGGCGTTGAACAGATTGGCCGTTCGGTCGTACTTCTTGACAACACGAAATCCTGAGAGATGTTTGTCAGAAACAATGTGGCAGGTGGCTCCACTATCGACTAGCCACAGGTCCCCAGGAGTAGTCTCGAGGGCCTTGCAGACATGAGCTACGTCGCCGTGCTTCAACACACGGGATCCTAAGGAGCCCATAGACTCAGAACCTCGACTCTCAGACCCAGGCGACCCTTCGGGTCCTGAACCCGGCTTCGGAACTACAAGGGCGGACGGCTCAGGTCTCTCAGGCTGGCTCAGAACACGGCGTTCCGAAGAAGAGGGCTCCGAAGAACCACGCCCAGGACAGGAAAACCTCATCGCCATCACTGTGGCGCTTCCTCCCGACTCGGCCTCGGACTCCGGCTCTGTCAAGGAGCGTCCCTTTCCAGGCTGTCCCTTCTTCTTCTTTTTCTTCTGCTTCTTGCCTTTGTCCTTTCCCTTGTCGCCTTTTCCTTTGTCGCCCTTGCCCTTCTCGGAACCACGGGGCGTACCAGATCCCTTGGGAGTCTGGTCGCCTTTGCCTTTCGGCTTTCCTTTGTCTCCTTTCCCTTTGCCCTTCGGAGCACCACCGCGTTCGCGTTCTTCCTTTTGGCGCTGCCAACACTTGTCGGCTGTGTGTCCCTTCTTCCCGCAGTAGTCGCAAAGCTTCTCCTGCAAGGCTCGGCCCGAAGACCCAGGGGCCTCACACAGTCGCAGCTGCTCCTCGTAGTAAGTCAGCGTCCTTCGAAGAGCTTCCCAGTTCGAGCTGGACCCGTGCAGTACCACGTACTGACGCACTTCTGCACCCAAGCTCTGTAACAGGACAGAGCAGCGGTCAGCCTCAGACAGCAGAAGCTCCGGAAAGTTGCTCAGCTTCGCTTCAGACTTCGAAAACGAATCCTCAAGATGTCGAATCAAGTCGGTGGGCCTCTTCAAATGCCCAACGTGCTGGTACAACTTCAAAGCCTGTTCTCTCACGAAGACAGCTTCCATCCGCGACACGATGGAGTACTGAGAGGTAATCGTTCTAATCACCTCGTAGCCGCAGGCGCTCTGCCCCTGCCTCTTCGAGCAGGACCTTAAGAGCTCGCTTCCCCGCTCCCACTTGGCGAGGGACTGCGTCAAGTAGTAGAACAGCTTGGAGCTACGCGCGGCAGTCTCTGGATTCAAGTCAGCTTGCACAATCTCCTTCTTCACAGGGATACAGAGCTGCAGTTCCCGAACAAACGCTTCCTCCTGCAGGGCAAGCCAGGAACTCAGCGTCTCCATAAAGGAGTGCCAAGTCTCTACCTCCTTCATGCGCCCTTTACCCATGCCTTGATGATCTATCACCGGAAGGTTCGGCAGATACTTCTCTGCACGGCCTCCAGCACCAGAGTACCCAGAGGGAGACGGAACTGCCGGAGAAACTGCCGAACTCGCGGCAGAACTGCTCGCGGGAGCAGTGCTCGGCTGGAAGGGGTCCCGAGTCTTAGCTGCCTCTGCTGCCTGCTTGGCCGCTTCAGCTGCCTCGTGAACTTTCTCTTCCGCTTTGTTCCTTCTCTCTTCCTCCAGATCCATTCTCCGGAGCATCGTCGCAACGAGCTGCTGGTTCATTGCCATCATCTCTCTCTGCTGACGAAGCAATTCCATCATGAATCCAGGCATCTGCTCAGGCGTAAAACCTGCAGAACCAGAGCTGCTACTCGGAGCAGCAGCCTTCGGACTCTGAACAGGTGGAGCCGACGCCTTTGGACTTTGCACAGGAGGCACAGTAGCACCAGTCGGCGAACCCGCCGCTGGTACAGAAGGCTGTGCTTGCGTAGGAGCAGGAGCCGGACCTTGGACAGGAGCAAACGGATTCGCTCCCTGCTGAGCAGCCGCTTCAGGCGCTGCCGCAGCTGGTCCTGGACCAAAAAGCTCGAACTCTTCTTCTGCAGTGGTCTCCGGCACAGGAACGTCTGCCATGGCTTTACTAGGAACGCACTCAGCGCTCCGCTACCATGTGAAAAACGCAGAGCAAGTCTCTTTTCACTCCACGCTTGAGCCAAACACCGAAGTGTTCAGCAAGGTCTCTTGCGGAGTCTCGCGCAGCAAATTCCGTCTCAACTTTGCTAAACAAAGGAGGAATGACATGCAACTGTCCTAACACTTCTCAGGACTTCTGTACTCACTCAAACAGCAGTGCACAGCCACTCTGTCCCTTGGCCTGTTCCCACCGGCACGAGCGAAGCGAGGGTCGGCGGAAAACAGCAACAGTGCAGTCAGAGCAACACGCACTTCTTCAAGGATGCCCAAAAGCATCTCTAGTGCTGTAAGCGCTCATCATGGTCTTCAAGACAAGTGCAAACATGCTAAAACATGTGTTCGCCATGCAAATGACTGTTCAAGCTTCCAAAACAAAACAGTTCAAGGCAAAAAGGATGAAACCCTTTCTCATGCGCAAAACAAGCATGTCGGTACTCAAGGGCACACCTAAAAGGAGCAAACTTTTCACAGAGGTAGATGATTCACTCATTGGTTCATTCGAGTCAAGATTTCTCAGAAGATTACTTGAATTTTCCAGTGAATTGCATTATCTGCTTGCGAGGATTACGAAAGGACATGCAGGAAGCATTATCCGTGCTTGTGAGCACGGCAACGGATTAGAAGCTTGGAGATTGTTGCACGAACAGTGTTGGATTTCCGACAGACACAAAGGCATGGAAACATTGAGCCAAATTTTTCTTTATCAGTTTCGGAAAGATTTCTTCTGAGGAAGCATTGTCAGGCTTTCTTCGATTGCATCAGAATGCACTGGGAACATTCGATCAGGTCGCTGACTTAGTCAGGGGACATTGCAGACTAATGAGCAAGAAGCAAGAGATTCTAAGAGAAAGAAAAGGATTGAAAAGATGAAGGAAGAAGGTGGATTTCGAGGACTCACCAAGCGGACATTGGAACGCTTTTCTCATCATGTCGAAAGGTGGAAGCGGACTGGAAGCAAAGGAGAAAACGGAAGGAAAACCGAAGAAGGAAAGAAGATTGACAAAATAGATGAGGATAACGAGGAACAGGACTCCAAAGAAATTGCGCATAATGAGAAATCACAGGAAACTGGAAAAGAAAGGAGAGATTTTGGAAGAAGAAGGAAATGATTAATGAGAAGGAAAGCACTTGCCTGGGAGATGAAGAGGATGCGACAGAGAAATTGAAGGAAAAGAGAAAAAGGAAGACAGAAGTTGCTTGGTCGAGATGAGGCATTGGACGTAGTCATTCCGGATTGTCACAACGCGATTGATCACTACAATGCGATTGTTTGCGTTGAGTGCGCTGTCAGTGAGAAGTACTTCGAGCGCACGCATGATCCGATTGAAGACATGGACGTCAGACATTGCGTTTCGTGGTGAATCTCGAAACCAGTCTTGAGCCTGTTGAACGTAGAAATCCTCTGATTCGGCAATGGGAAAACCCTGAGTCAATGACTTGAAGATTCAATGTGATAAGCGCAATCAGACAAAGGCTCATGACCTTCTCTCAAACCAACTCGAGAACCAGAGACACGAGAATCGTTCAACCGAACGTTAGCCTCAACAGATCCAAGATCCCGCCAATGATAAAACCAATCCTCCTTCTTACACAAGGGTGCTCTACGAGCAATCGGAGCACTCATGAGTCTGCAAAACACGATAACAATTATCATCATGGCAAGCAGAGCTAAATCTACCGAAACCAATCCTCAATCGCTCTCGGACTAGAAATGTGCCAGTGAAACCAACCTCTTCCGAATTCATAACTTCCAAATTCATATTCGTGACGTCATAAAAGAAATCCACCAATCGTTTGACGATCGACGAAAATAAAACCTGATCTCCAATCTCAGATCTGGACGACGTGCAAGGTTCTCCCAAGGCAATGTCTGAATGAACGCAGTCGAACTGACTACGACAATCAGAACCTTTCGTGCAATCGAGCTGGTCACACGAGAGCCTCTGTGCATTGGAAAGAGAACATTGGAGTATCAGCACTGAACGCTTCGAGAACATTCCCTGTCATTTCGTTCGGAGACACATTGTTTGTGTTCGACTCCGACAGTCTTGGATCAGAAGACTCGTTTGATTGGATTCGAACGATTCCACCGGGACATTTCCAGTGCCATATTCCTTGTGCGACAATGTCATTGGTGGACTTTCATGGATTCAGTTGAAATTCGGTTCTGAACTTTGGAGCTTGATAGAAGCTACTATCTTGACATTCGAACCATTATTGAAACGTAACCTCGCTCCCTGCAGGTGCCATGCCTTTACCTCTGCACAGGCGCCCGCGATTCCCACCTGCTCTCAGCAAGGGAGGGCTCCACCAACCGCCCGGACCTCAGCTGGAGGGCCAGCCTTCTGGGACTCCAACATAGGTTTTTGGGGGGGTGTTCGAACCCAAGGTTTGGAACTTAAGTTCCGAACCCAGGGTTCTGGAACTCCGAACTGAGAATTCGGAGCCTCGAACCCAGGGTTCGAACATCGAAGTTCCCTCCGAACCCTGGGTTCGAACTTTGAGTTGAACTCCAAGTTGAACTCAACTCCGAACTTCTTGAACTGGAGTTGAACCTGGAGTTGAACTCTGAAAGGCGAAGAGTTTGAACCCAGGGTTTGAACATAGAGTTTCCGAACCCAGAGTTCGAACTCTGGCGGTCCTGAAGAGTTCAACCCGAGGTTCCAACACAGAGTTCCCCAAACACCGGGTTCCACATAGAGTTCCCGAACCCAGGGTTCGAACTCCCTGGGGGACGGGGGGGTTCCGGAACCCGGGGTTCCGGTATAGAGTTCCCCAAACCCCAGGTTCGGGCATGGAGTTCCGAACCCAGGGTTCGGACTCTCTGGGAAGGGGGAGGAGTTCCCGAACCCGGGGTTCGAACGTGGAGTTCTCCAAACCCCGGGTTCGAACATAGAGTTCCCGAACCCAGGGTTCGAACATAGAGTTCCCGAACCCCGGGTTCGAACATAGAGTTCCCGAACCCAGGGTTTGAACATAGAGTTCAAACTCCAGGTTCAACCTGGGTTCGAGAAGTTCGAACCCAGGGTTCAACCCTGAGTTCCGGAGTTATATGTTCTCCCCCCCCCCCCTCCCCGGGCCCCCCGGGAGTTCGAACCCTGGGTTCCGGAACACTCCAAAAAGCTATGCTCCTGGGACTCAGTCATCCGGTCTGTCAGCCTTGGGCGCGGCCCCGAGAAGAAGCCTTCGTTGCGTGCCACCTCCACTGCCAGGTCGGGAACAGCCTCGGGCCTAGATTCCATGTTCAGGACCTGCCCTCTCGCCCGGCATCAGCCCCGAACTCGGTGGAAGGAGCTGCTGTGGCTCCTAGGGGACTCGGCAGCTTTCTACCGCAGCCTTCAGGAGGCCAAGCATTCTCAGCAGCTACTCGCCCAAGGCATTATCCTTTTGTTGAATTCTATACATAGGAACGCCCCACACTTTTGGTGAGCCCAGGCAACGGTATAGTTTTAGTGTAAGCTGTATACTATGTGACCGACGCAGCGCCTTTGACCGCTCAGGGTTTTTACAGTTTAACTTGGTAGCGGAGCAAGGAAGCCTGAAAATCCAGGAAACCTGTGGGCCGAAGGAAACCGGATTGGAAATGGAAAGAAGTACACGAGGATACCTGGAAACTGGACAGTAAATCTTGGAATTCGCCATGAAGGTGGTCATGGAGAAGATGTACAAGGACCTCTTGCGATTTGTGTTTGGATTCTGTATGAGTATCATGCTGAGCCAGGAAGTATTCAGGAAACAAGTTGCTTGTGGATGAACATGTCTCACCTTGTTATTCGACCGCAGCCGTTTACCCTCAAAGAGGAAATTTCGGATTGTGTATGGATCAACTGTATCCCCCAAGGATGGGAGAACGTGCGGAAGAAGGATCTCTTGTCCCAGCGGCAGGAACTATGGAACTCAACGACAGTGAAATCTTCCAGGATGAACCCCACCAGAAGGTATCTCGAGTCACGGAACATGAACCGTTGCCAAGAGTGGCAAGGCCTGGCATGGAAGATGTCATGGCTGGACGAACTGCGGAGTTGGGAGAAATGCGACAGAGTGCAGAAGAAAGGCGAGCTACCTTGGTGGAGCAAGCTAACCTCCTGCAGACGCCAGGAAGGAAAGCTGAAAGTACTCCAGCAAAGACTCCAGGGACAACTGGAGGAAAGTCGCGAGAAGAAAAGAAGAAAGAGAAGAAGACTGCCAGGAAAGAAGCCAAGCAAAGCCGTAAGGCCGAGAAGGCTAGGACTAGGAAGAAGCAGGAAGAAGAAGCCACAAGTCCTCAAGGTGTTCGACGTAAGTTGGATGAAGCTATGGAAGTGGGATCGATTGAGAACGTCATGTTGCTTGAGAAAGAGTATAAGCGATTCAGACTTGACGGAAAGTATCAACCCCCCTTCCTTAGTATCTACAGCCGGATGTTGCAGAACAATCAGAAATTCAAGCCCAGATCTTACTACGATCCCCCAGGAAAGGATCCAGAGACAGAACGTTTCGAAGCTCTCAAGGAAGAAGAAGAGAAGAAGTCCGAGGCAGAGTCTCGGAAGCGTAAGCTTGAGGAGTTGGAAGAAAAGAAGCGTACCTTGGAGGCTGAGTCAAAGCGAAAGCAGCAAGAACTTGAGGATGAAGCAAAGCGTATCCGAGCTGTGGAAGAAGCT